AACTAAGAACAGAACGCTAGTGTATTTAAGCAAAAATAAAAATTTTGAGAAAAACAAAAAATTTTGACAAAAAAAACTCAAAATTTCAATTTGGTTTTTTAACATTTCATTATTTATTAGCGCTCTGGCCATTTTGAAAATTCTTTTATTTCAAGGCCTTGACTTTTGGCCCCAAGAATCAAAATGTTGAAAAAAAAACTCATATCTTGGTGGAAAATTCTAAATTCTTAAAATTTCCTAAAATCGTCTGTTTTTTGTCCGTTTAGCATACTAAGACGCAATTTTCTCGTGTCTTTATGAAAAAAGTCGACGTTTTCACATCTCAGCAACTTGATTAAAAATTGTTAAATTTTTTCTCAGATTTTTGAGAATTTTTTTTCAAAATTTTGACATTTTTCAAAATTACTTGTCTTTTTGTGTCAAGTAGATGTTTTGTTAAGATTTTATCCACTGAAAATACAGTCACCAATGTTTAGGATATAAAATCGTGAAAAGGACCTAAACATTTTGGAGAAAATCCCAAAATTTAGAAATTCTTCAAAATAAAGTTATATCTTAAAAACAGATTTCAAAAAAATGTTTGCAAATCTTCAGTTTTTATTATAAGCTCAACATAAAGTTAATTTTGTCGTACGTAAAACCCCGAGATTTTCATAAAACTACACGAACGTGAACAAAATTGGTTTTCATAACAGAATTTTTTCTAAGATTTTTTAGTTTTTTCGAGATTTTTGTCAAAAATTCTTGACTCCTCTCCGAAGGCAATAAAATGTGTTCCGAAAATGTTCGTTCTTTATCTCAAACAAAGACAGAGTCTCTAATGTATTTAAGCAATTATAAAGGTTTTGAAAAAACGCAAACATTTCGGTATTTATTTTGAAAATTATTTTACCTCAAGGCATTGACTTTTGATCTCAAGAATCAAAGTCTTGAAAAAAACTCATATCTTGGTGAAAAAATTCTAAATTCCAAAATGTTCCTAAAATCTTCTACTTTATGTCAGTTTAGGATATTTAGACGCGATTTTCTCGTGACTGTAGGAAAAAAGTCCACGTTTTCACATCTCAGAAACTTGATTAAAATCATGTTTTTTTTTTCGCAGATTTTTAGGATTTTTTTTCAATATTATGAGATATTTTTCAAAATTAGTTGACATTTTGTACCAAGTTAATGATGCCTCAAAATTTTCACTGATTCTTTCGACAGAGAATAGAGTCACCAATGTGTTTAGGAAATAAAATCGTCAAAAGGACCTAAACATTTTGGAGAGAAAATCCCAAAATTTGAGAAATCGTAAAAAAAAACGTTATATCTCAAAAACAAATTTCAAAAAAATGTTGACGTTTTTGTTTAAGCTTAACGTAAAGTTAATTTTGTATTACCTACGTAAAACCCATGGATTTTCAGAAAACTACACAAACTTGAACAAAAATGGTTTCCATGAGCTGAGAGGTATTTTGTCGAAACTTCTTGACTTTTCCTCCCAAGAAATAAAATGTTTCCTGAAAATTTTCGTTCTTTACTTCGACTAAGAACAGAATCGCCAGTGTATTTAAGCAAAAATAAAAATGTTGAAAAAAGCAAAAAGTGTTGGCAAAAAAACTCAAAACTTCAAATTTGTTTCTTTAACATTTCATTATTTATTAGCGCTCTGGCCATTTTGAAAATTGTTTTATCTCAAGGCCTTAGCTTTTGGTCTTAAGAATCACAGTCTTGAAAAAAAACTCACATCTTGGTGAAAAAATTCCAAATTCTGAAAATTTCCTAAAATCTGTTTTCTGTCACTCTAGGATACTTACACAATTTTCTCGTATGTTTAGAAAAAAAGTCAACGTTTTCACATCTCAGAAACATAAAAAAATGTTTTCGAGGATTTTTTTTCAAGATTTTGAGCTATTTTTCAAAATTACTTGACTTTTTGCTTCAAGTAGATGTTTCTCAAAATTTTTACTGATACTGTCAACTGACAATAGAGTCACCAATGTCTCTAGAAAATAAAATCGTGAAAAGGACCTAATAATTTGGAAGAGAAAACCCAAAATTTGGGAAATCTTCAAAAAAATTACATCTCAAAAACAAATTTCAAACAAATGTTGCCAGTTCAGTTCAAGATAACGTTAATTTTGTATTACGTACAAACACGGGATTTTTATAAAACTATACAAACTTTTTTTGAGAAATTTTTGCCAAAAATTCTTCACTTTTTCTCCCAAAACAATAAGATGTTTCCTGAAAATTTTCGTTCCTTACCTCTACTAAAAACAGAATCGCTAATGTATTTAAGCAAAAATAAAAATATTGAAAAAAAAACATTTTGCCAAAAAAACTCAAAATTTCAAAATTGTTTTTTTGACATTTCATTATTTATTAGCGCTCTGGCCATTTTAAAAATTCTTTTATCTCAAAGCCTTGACTTTTAGTCACAAGAATCAAAATCTTGAAAAAAAACTCATTCATATCTTGGTGAAAAAATCTAAATTCTGAAAATTGACTAAAATTTTCTATTTGATTTCGGGTTAGGATACTTTGACTCAATTTTCTAGTGTCTTCAGAAAAAACGTCAGCGTTCTCACATCTCAGAAACTTGATTAAAATGTGTTTTTTTTAGATTTTGAGGATTTTTTTCAAGATTTTGGGATATTTTTCAAAATTACTTGACTTTTTGTGTCAAGTAAATGTTTTGCTAACTGATTCTCTCAACTGAGAATAGAGGCACCAATAGCTTTAGAAAATAAAATCGTGTAAAAGACCTAAAAATTTTGGAAAGAAAATCCTAAAATTTGGAAAACCTTCAAAAAAAAATTTGCAAATCTTCCGTTTATATTCAAGTTCAACGTACAGTTAATTTTATCTTGAGTAAAACTCCTAGATTTTCATAAAACTACACAAAGAAGAACAAAAATGATTTCTATGAGCTGATTTTTTTCAAATTTTATTTTTTTTTTGAGACTTTTTTGTCAAAAATTCTTGACTTTTTCTCCCAAGACAATAAGTTGTTTTCTGAAAATGTTCGTTCTTTACCTCAACTAAGTACAGAATCGTTAATATATTTAAGCAAAAATAAAAAAATTTGAAAAAACTACAAATTTTGGGAAAAACCCAAAATTTCGAATTTGGTTCTTTTTAGCATCTCACTATTTATTACCTCTCTCGGCGTTTTAAAAATTCTTTTTTCTTAAGACCTTGAGTTTTGTCTCAAGAATCAAAATCTTCAAAAAAAAATCATAGATTTTGTTGAACAAACTCTAAATTCTAAAAATTTTCTAAAATCTTCTATTTTTATATCCGTTGAGTATATTCAGACTCAATTTTCCCAGTGCCTTTAGGAAAAGGTGGACGTTTTAAGATATTTTTTAAAATTGCTAGTAGATGTCTTAAGATTTTTATTGTTTCTCTCAACTGAAAATAGAATTACAAGTGTCTTTAGGAAATAAAATCGTGAAAAAGACCCAGAAATTTTGAGGAGAAAAATCCCAAAATTTGGAAAATTTTCAAAAACGCTGTCTTGAAAACAAATTTAAAAAAAAATCTGCAAATCGCCTGTTTTTTATTCAAACTCAACATAAAGTTAATTTTGTCTTAAGGAAAACCCCGACATTTTCATAAACCCAGACAAACTTAAAAAAAACGATTCCCATAAGATGAATTTTGTTCTCGGATTTCTTAGTTTTTCCAAGAGATTTTTTAGACAAAATTCTTGACTTTTCTCCAAAGACAATAGGAGTTTTCTGAACATGTTCGTTCTTTATCTCAACTAAAAACAAAATCACGAATATATTTAAGCAAAAATAAAAAGCTTCAAAAACCTAAAAATTTCGGGAAAAAATCTCATTAAAAAAACAAACAAGATATTATGCTGGTTCCTGTGTAGAAACAACTTGAAACAAATAAAACAATTTTCTGTTAATACAAAGGAGAAAAAAATGGGTATTTGTTAAAATAAAAATCTGTCAACACTGTATTCAATCCAGGAAAATTGGCAACATCGGGGAGTTTTATCTTAAAGACTAATTTAATCTCTGCGTCACTTCTTGCCATGCATGTGACGTAGACATTTTCCTGCTGAAGTATTTTTACTCATATCAGCGTGTGCAACACGCGAGTGCATAATTATTTATTAGACATTTTTCAAAAATATCATTAACATCTTTTGACGCCAAAATATAAAAAAAATCTGGAAAACACCGAAAGTACGATTAAAAAAATTTTCAAATTTACTTTTTTTGAAGAATAAACTGTGTTCCTAAGAAATACTCGAAAATCGCCTACGTGCTCTGCACAGTAACCCATCTCAGATCGGATTTTATAAGTGATCCCTTTTAAAAACTTTAAAGTTGTTAGTTGTTTCCCAGTTTAAAGCCACTTATCAGAAACAAAGTTAACGTCGTCGTTTCCATAACTGACACTTTGACACTCCCACGTGAAGTAACAAGTGGCTATCGAACAGGTCATGATCTTTAACTTATTTTCGTACTTGATCATATAATAAAATCTGAATTGTAAAACATCGGCATTATCCTACACAATTTACTTATCGCAACACGGTCCGATAGATTGATTGCGAACGCACGAGTTGTTAAACGTCTGACATTAATTACAAATATGATTTTCTTTACGATTCTCGACACATAAACGCTTCTAAAGCCTATTTAGAAATGCGTGTTGCCATTCTACCAAGGTTATTTTTTCGGTGACTTATTAATGGATGTCACTAATTAAGACAACATCAACACTTTCCCGCTGTCCAACAAAAAATAAAAACAAAAAAACACACGTCACGTACTTGTGTTCCATAGCTGATTAACACAACTTTCTGAATGACACACGCTGCTAAAACTCCGACTTTGTTATTGTGGATTCTTGAGCAACCGGTCTAATTAAAATTTCGCTCGGGTTCATTCATCAACAGTATAATTTATTATGTCGATTGTTTAAGTCGAGATTGAACGAAGCACACAACTTTATCTAGGTGTCTGCCACTTAGAAAACAGATTAATTACCTTTGAGCTTCCAGCAGCTTCATCCGACTGTGTTTGCATGCTTGAAAAACCGAAAAACTTCACTAAATCGCGTCGGAAAGACTGAAATTCGTGCGGTGTCCGCAACCGACTGTCAGGATTCGCTGCAGTCGCCCCTCTTCGAAGTTCGCAGGGTCGGACTAAAAGCGTTTGCCTGTAATTAAGACACTATCGAACGAAACCGATAAAGTCGCACTTTAATAACTAGGTGCATATTATATCAATTAGTCGAGCGGTGTTGATGTAAACAATTTCAACAAACAGAGGGAGGTAGAAGACGGAGCAGGCCGAAGAAAAACAATTAAATTAAACGGAGCGATGATTCCTTTTGTCTTGCGCTGGGGAAGGGAGTTAATAGGGAAATTGCCGTCATTATGAGTATTATAATTAATTTTCAATGAGGAAGGTTTGAATAAAAATTATGTTAAATGGTGAAGCGCTCGGTTTGGGCGGAAAGAAAACCAGACTTACCTAAAGCGGAGACTTAACTACTGCTTTTATGATGGTAAAGTGGAGAATGAATCACGCGGTCGGTTTTGACCATTTTGATAAATAAGGCGTGGAATTGTTGTTTGGGGCCTTTTTGGTTCCTGGACAACGACCCGCCGCCTTTGAGAACGTAAGTTCGGCCAGAGGTCGGCTAAGTTATGGATTGCGAAGACCGTAACTGGGGAAAGTGAGAACGAATGTACGGGATGTCTCGCCGGAAATGGCACACTCACGCTATATTGGAACATTTTCCAAAGTAGACGTTCGGAGAGAATTATTTAACGGGACTTCGTTTAAAAGTTTTACCTCGTCTGGTTTAAGTAAGTCAAATGAAAATTAATTAAACAACAACAAAAATAATAAACGAGATTTAACACCATTATTTTACAATTAGTGTAAACAAAACACATACAAATTACTTTTTTTATCTACGAATGACGAATGAATAGCCTAATTTTTGCAAAATAGAATTTATTGTGCTATTACTGTTATTTCAGTTATCTTCGAGGGTATTAGACCTTAAAGGTTACTTACTATTGTTGGTCATGGTTCTATTTATATAACGTTCGCATAACAGTTTTCACAATGAATTTATCAGTTTCTAATGTAATACTATAATAATAGCTATACAACTATTACTGTTATAAACTAAATTGCAACACGTAACCTTGATTTAACCAATTATCTCTTCCGAATCTCGAAAAACTTTCAAACTCAAAACAGCAACCAGGAAAACACAAATCGAATTCTGCTGTATAAAATATTGAAATTCTGCAAACGTCGTTGCTTTTAGCTTGAAGGGGGAAGCTTAATATGTACAAACACGAGTAAATTATCTTTGTATCTTAACAAATTCGTGCCTACTTTTCCACAAAAATAAAAATTGGTCGAAGGTTATTTTGACAGAACTTTGACAAACAAATCCGGCTTCTTTGAAATTTAGTTTCTATTTTTGTTTCCTGAAAACCTTCATTAAATTAAAACCAATCCTGTAAATGACCCTCCCGCAAATTTTTTGAGTTTCGAGTTTTCATCAAGTTTAAATCTTTCAGTTTTTCAATTTCTATATTTTGCAAATTTCGATTTGAGTTTCTCGAGTTTTAAATTCTTAATTTTTTCGATTTTTCAATGTTCAATTTTTATAATTTTTTGTTTTCTCAATCTCAGTTTTTTCAATTTTTCGTTTCTTCAATTTCTGATTGTTTCAAATTTTCGATTTGCGGTTTTCCCTTTCGGTTTTCCATTTTCTTTATTTTTACAATTTTTCGATTTTTCCATGTTCCTATTTTAAAATTTTTAGTTTTTTCAGTTTAATTTTTTCCAGTTTTTCGTTCTTCAGTTTTTCGATTTGCAATTTTGCAATTTTTAATTTTTTTTTTGTTTCTTCAATTTTACCGTACGTAACTCTCGACTATTCATTTTAAAATGTTTCATTTTCTTGAATTTCCAACTTTTATTTTTTCGATTTTTCAATGCTCCGATTTATAATTTTTTGTTTTCTCAATTTCAATTTTTTCAATTTTCCGTTTCTTGAATTTTTCATTGCTTCAAATTTTCGATTTTCAGTTTTCGTTTCGGTTTTTATTTTCTTTATTTTTACAACTTTTCGATTTTTCCGTGTTCCTGTTTTAAAATTGTTTGTTTTTTCAATTACAATTTCTTCAATTTTTCGTTCTTCAGTGTTTCGTTTTTCGATTTGCAATTTTTAAATTTTTAATTTTTTTTTGTTTCTTCAATTTTACGATATGTAACTCTCGAGTTTTCATTTTAAAGTTTTTAGTTTCTCGAATTTCCAGCTTGTGGATGTTTCAATTTTTCGATTTGCAATTTCACAAGGTTTAAAATCTCAAGTTTTGAATTTTTCAATTTTTCGTTTCTTCAAATTTTCAATTTGAAAGTTTTCGTTCCATGTTTTATTGTCTTTATTTTTTTATTTTTTCGATTTTTCAATGTTCCGATTTTATAAATTTTTGGTTTCTCAGTGTCAATTTTTTCAATTTTTCGTTTCAAATTTTCGTTGCTTCAAATTTTCGATTAACAGTTTTTCGTTTCGATTTTTTATTTTCTTTATTTTAATAATTTTTCGATTTTTCCATGTTCCGATTTTAAACTTTTTTGTTTATTCAGTTTCAATTTTTTCAATTTTTCGATTTACAATTTTTTAAGTTTTAATTTTTTTGTTTTTTTCGATTTTTTGATTTGTAATTTCACAAGTTTTAAAACCTTAATTTTTCAATTTTGCGATTTTTCAATTTGTCAATTTTTCACTTTTTGGATTTGCAATTTTTCATTTCGGTTTTTCATTGTCTTTAATTTTTCAAATTTTCGGTTTTTCAATGTTCTGATTTTATGATTTTTCTTTTTTCATTCTACAATTTTTAAATTTTTGGATTTTTCAATTTTTCGGTTTTTAAATTTTTTAGTTCGTCGATTTTTCAATTATTCGTTTCTTCAATTTTTGATTTGAAATTTTTCTAGTTTTCATTTTAAACACGTATGTAATAATAATTAGAATTTTTTAAATTGTTCACTTTTTCAATTTAGGATTTTATGATTGTTTCCTTTTTCTTCCTATTGGATTTTAATCAAACTTTTTCGTTGATTCGATTTTTAATTTTGAATTTCCGAATATTTAATTTTTCAATTTTCGATCTTTCAATGTTACAGTTTTTCTGCTTTACAATTTTTACGATTCTATAATTTTTCGATTTTACAATTTTTGGGCTTTCTAATTTTTCGACTTGATTCATTTTTTCTTCTTTCTAATTTTTCGATTCATTCAGTTTGTCGATTTTCTAGTTCGTCGATTTTTGGTTTTTCAATTTTTTCAATTTTTCATTTCTTCAATTTTTCATTTCTTCAGTTTTTCATTGCTTCAAATTTTCGATTTGCAATTTTTCGTTCCATTTTTTATTTTCTTTATTTTGTTATTTTTTCGATTTTTCCATATTTCGATTTTAAAATTTTTCTATTTGCAATTTTTCAAGTTTTTTTTTTTGTTTCTTCAGTTTTTCGATTTGCAATTTCACGAGTTTTAAGATCTTGATTTTTCAGTTTTTCCATGTTTCAATTTTTGCATCATTTGAAATTTCTCGTTTCGGTTTTTCATTTTCTTTATTTTTTCAATTATTCGACTTTTCAATGTTCTGATTTTATAATTTTTCTTTTTTCATTGTGAAATTAAATTTTTGGATTTTTCAATTTTTCGGTTTTTCGATTTCAAATTTTTTAGTTCCTCGATTTTTCAATTATTCGTTCCTTCAATTTTTGATTTGCAATTTTTTCAGTTTTCATTTTAAATATGTAATAATAGTAATAATTTTTAAAATTGCCCACTTTTTCAATTTTACGATTTTACAATTTTTTCATTTTTGGATTTTAAAACTTTGTCATTTATTCGATTTTTCAGCATTTCAATTTTGAATTTTTCATTTTTTAATTTTGAAATTCCGGATATTTAATTTTTCTTTTTGCTTTACAATTTTTACGATTCTATGATTTTTCGATGTTTCCAATTTTTGGGTTTTCCAATTTTCGGATTCATTATTTTTCTCGATTTGAGTTTCTCAATGTTTCGATTTTTCGTTTCTCCAGTTCGATTTTGCAGTTTCTCGTTTTTTTAAGTTTTTCGATTTTTCAACTTTTCGAATCAAAAAAGTGAAAAAATTGCAAAATTGTAAAATTGAAAAATCAAAAATTAAAATACGAAAACGTACAAAATGGAACCTTTGAAAATCTGAAAAGTGGAAATCAAGAATTGAAAAACTGAAGAAATGAAAAATTAACAAATCGGAAGATTAAAAATTGAGAAACTTAAAAACCAAAAAAGTGCAAATAAAATCGGAAAAACGAAATTCTGTAAAATTAAAATATGTACTGACAAGAAATCGGAAAATCGGATAATAGAAAAATCCAAAAATTGCAAAACTGAAAATTTTGAAAATTGGAAAATTGATGAATTGAAAATCAAGTTGAAAAACTGAACAAATGAAAAATTATGACATCTAAAAACATGGAAAAAATAAAGGGAATGCAGAAACGAAAAATTGTGTTGTAAAATTAAGAAAATGAAAATTAAAAAATCGGGAAAATGGAAAATAAAAATCAAGAACCGGAAAAAATGAAAAACGAAAAATTAAAGATTTACAAACTAAAATATCGAAAAAATTGTAATATTGAAAAATTGCAGAATTGAAAAATTGTAAACCGAAGAAACGAAAAATTGAAAAATTTGGAAGTCGAGCAATTGAAAATTTGAAAAATTAAAGTTGAAAAAAAAAATGATCAAACCGAAACAATGAAAAATGGAAAAATTAAAGATTGACAAACTGAAAAATCGAAAAATGAAAAATTGTACTATCGAAAAATTGCAAAATTGAAAAATTACTAGTTGGAAAATTAAACGAAAATTTGAAAAATCGGAAAATTAAAAATTCAGAAATTAAAAATCGAAAAAGTGCAAGTAATCGGAAAACGAAATTCTGTAAAATCGAAATACTGACAATTAAGAAAATCCTAAAATCGGATAATTGAGAAAACCGAAAATTGCAAAACCTAAAAATTTGAAAATTGGAAAATGGAGGAACCGAAAATC